ACTCAGAAAATTAAATGCAAAAATAAATCAAATAATGAATGCATTGTCATCACTGCATCCAGTATTTAATTGATGAGAATATGTTTGTCACGTATAAGGCCTTCAAAAAATTGCCAAAGCACAGGTTTCAGACAAGCATACTTAAATATTTTTTATGCCACGATAGCCCGAAGGAGCCCAACCCAGGCTGTTTTTTTTATTCATTATTTTTCCTAGAAAATTGTCACCCACTCTGTCCTGCTATTTATCCATAGCTGGGAGGAAGAATAAGAGGATTCATACCTTTCCCCAAGGGTATTAGCACGTAAGTGAATGTAATAGATCCGACTGGAATTCGAACTCGGCTCTCCAAGTCCTCAATTATGTTATGTGCCATGTCAGTTATGTGCCATGCGTGATATACGCTTAGGCTATCATCTATCTTTCGATACATGACTGGCGAGGCTGATTTTTTTTTCCCGCAGTAAGTTGCCATTTCTTTTTGCGGTAGAGCAGTTGCTATCCAAGGCCTATCTTCTACTTACCCGTAGCTGGTATCCAATACCTGTCTTCTACTTACCCGCGGCTGGTATCCAAGGCCTGTCTTCTACTTACCCGTGGCTGGTATCCAAGGCCTGTCTTCTACTTACCCGCGGCTGGTATCCAAGGCCTTTCTTCTACTTACCCGTAGCTGGTATCCAAGGCTTGTCTTCTACTTACTCGTAGCTGAATTTCCAAGGCCTGTCTTCTACTTACCCGCGGCTGGTATCCAAGGCCTGTCTTCTACTTACCCGTGGCTGGTATCCAAGGCCTTTCTTCTACTTACCCGTAGCTGGTATCCAAGGCCTGTCTTCTACTTTCCCGTAGCTGAATTTCTAAGGCCTGTCTTCTACTTACCCGCGGCTGGTATCCAAGGCCTGTCTTCTACTTACCCGCGGCTGGTATCCAAGGCCTGTCTTCTACTTACCCGTGGCTGGTATCCAAGGCCTGTCTTCTATTTACCCGTAGCTGGTATCCAAGGCCGCCGTGGCTGGTATCCAAGACCTGTCTTCTACTTACCCGTAGCTGGTATCCAAGACCTATCTTCTACTTACCCGTGGCTGGTATCCAAGGCCTGTCTTCTATTTACCCGTAGCTGGTATCCAAGGCCTGTTTTCTATTTACCCGTAGCTGGTATCCACGGCCCCCGTGGCTGGTATCCAAGGCCTGTCTTCTACTTACCCGTAGCAGGTATCCAAGGCCAGTTTCTACTAACCCGTAGCTGGTATCCAAGGCCTGTCTTCTACTTACCCGTAGCTGGTATCCAAGGCCTGTCTTCTACTTACCCGTAGCTGGTATCCAAGGCCTGTCTTCTACTTACCCATAGCTGGGATCCAAGGCCTGTCTTCTACTTACCCGTGGCTGGTATCCAAGGCCTGTCTTCTACTTACCCGTAGCTGGTATCCAAGGCCTGTCTTCTACTTACCCGTAGCTGGGATCCAAGGCCTTTCTTCTACCTACGCATAGCTGGTATCCAAGGCCTGTCTTCTACTTAACCGTGGCTTGTATTCAAGGCCTGTCTTCTACTTACTCGTGGCTGGTATCCAAGGCCTGTCTTCTACTTACACGTAGCTGGTATCCAAGACCTATCTTCTACTTACCCGTGGCTTGTATTCAAGGCCTGTCTTCTACTTACCCGTGGCTTGTATTCAAGGCCTGTCTTCTACTTACTCGTGGCTGGTATCCAAGGCCTGTCTTCTACTTACACGTAGCTGGTATCCAAGACCTATCTTCTACTTACCCGTGGCTGGTATCCAAGGCCTGTCTTCTATTTACCCGTAGCTGGTATCCAAGGCCTGTCTTCTATTTACCTTTAGCTGGTATCCACGGCCCCCGTGGCTGGTATCCAAGGCCTGTCTTCTACTTACCCGTAGCAGGTATCCAAGGCCAGTTTCTACTAACCCGTAGCTGGTATCCAAGGCCTGTCTTCTACTTACCCGTAGCTGGTATCCAAGGCCTGTATTCTACTTACCCGTAGCTGGTATTCAAGGCCTGTCTTCTACTTACCCATAGCTGGTATTCAAGGCCTGTCTTCTACTTACCCGTGGCTGGTATCCAAGGCCTGTCTTCTCCTTACCCGTGGCTGGTATTCAAGGCCTGTCTTCTACTTACTCGTGGCTGGTATCCAAGGCCTGTCTTTTACTTACCCGTAGCTGGTATCCAAGGCCTGTCTTCTACTTACCCGTAGCTGGTATCCAAGGCCTGTCTTCTCTTACCCGTGGCTGGTATCCAAGGCCTGTCTTCTACTTACCCGCATGGTATCCAAGGCCTGTCTTCTACTTCCCCGTAGCTGGTATCCAAGGCCTGTCTTCTACTTACCCGTGGCTGGTATCCAAGGCCTGTCTTCTACTTACCCGTGGCTGGTATCCAAGGCTTGTCTTCTACTTACCCGTGGCTGGTATCCAAGGCCTGTCCTCTACTTACCCGTGGCTGCTATCCAAGGCCTGTCTTCTACTTACCCGTAGCTGGTATCCAAGGCCTGTCTTCTACTTACCCGTGACTGCTATCCAAGGCCTGTCTTCTACTTACCCGTTGCTGGTATCCAAGGCCTGCCTTCTACTTACCCGTAGCTTTAAGTAGAAGAGGGTTCATACTCTAAGCACGTAAGTGAATGTAATGGTTCAGACTGGAATTCGAACTCAGCTCTCAGGTCCTCAATCCTAGTCAGTTAAGTGCCATGCGTGATACAAGCTTAGGCGATCATGTATCTTTCGGTACATGTCTGACGAAACAGATTTTTTTTCCGCAGTATGTTGTCATTTTTTTCTGCAGTAGACCAGTTGCCATCCAAGGCTATAGAACCAGGTCTGTCCTGCTATTTTACCCATAGCTGGGGGCTGGGAGAAGAAGAGGATTCATACCTTTCCCAAGTGTATTAGCGCTTAAGTGAATGTAATGGATTCGAATAGAATTCGAACTCGGCTCTCCGATTCCTCAATCCGTGCCTCCTAGTCAGTTATGTGCCATGAGTGATACACGCTAAGGCGATCATGTATCTTTCGAAACATGACTTATAATGCAAATTTTTTCCCGCAGTAGGTTGCCATTTTTTTCTTCGGTAGACCAGTTGATATCCAAGGCTATAGAACACGGATTGTCCTGCTATTTAGCTGGCGGGAGAAGAAGAGGATTCATACCTTTCCCCAAGGTTATTAGCACGCAAATGAATGTTATGGATTCGATTAGAATTCGAACTCGGCTCTCCGATTCCTCGACCCGTGCCTCCTAGACAGTTATGTGCCATGCGTGATACACGCTTAGGCGATCATGTATCGAAATATACATGACTGACGAGGCAGATATTGTCTTCTTATTTACCCATAGCTGGCGGGAGAAGAGGATCTATACCTTTCCCAAGTGTATTGGCACGTAAGTGAATGTAATGGATTCGACTTGAATTCGAACTCGGCTCTCCGATTCCTCAATCCAAGCCGCTACCCACTACTCCACCGTGCTTCCTTGACTTAGATATACAATGCCTTAAAAATAAATGTTTGTTACATTTCTTAAAATTTAAAGCACCTCAGAATTTTAGTTACTCTACAAATCCGCCCTGAAGTAAAAATGGTTTCGAAACTCTACTGGATGCGTCCACAGAGTTAAATCGCGCTCATTCGTTTGGCTAAAAGTGCGTTTCCGGCTTGTTAAACACACGCCGTCGGAGAGAAAGCAGGATCGCTGTCTTCTATTTAAGTAGCAGGGTAGACAGGGCTATCTAGCCTTGGTTGGAAGCCTGTTAAGGTGAAAGATAATATGATTAGCAAACTGGAGAAGCCAACGTGGAATTTCCCCATTAAAGTTTCTGTTCGTTTGTATTTAATATCGTTAAGCTTTCATTTGTTCTGTATAAAAGCCCATGTTGCATAGTGGTCACGCTAATGCAATCAGACACATGCCATTAAGTGAATCCTGACTTGATTCAAAAGTCCGACCCGAACAGCCGATGCATCCATTAGGCCACAGTGCGACTGTTTCAATATTTGAATTTAACTTAGAAATATTAAGAGTTTTGTTTATTTTGTGTTTGCAATTATCTTTCTTTTTTTCTTTATTTCTTTCTCCAAAAATATTTATGCTTTAAAATCATTTAAAACAATGAATGCTAGACATTTCATTTTGGACTTTTATTAAAACGGACATCGCTTTTAATTTCCAAACTTCCCAACGCATCGATTATTTTTTTTAGCTAATTCCATTTGGAATATATATATATATATATATATATATATATATATATATATATATATATATATATATATAAAAAGGCTTAAACACTAATATTCCATGGTCATAATTTATTCCATTGGAATCGTAAATACGATCCAATTCATTAGACCTACAAATTATATTTTTTTGAATATTGTCCTGAAGAAGGTTATTAAACCGAAACGTCAGACGTCGACATTTCATTCATAATTAAAACAACATAATCACATTCTAAGGATTTTTGTTTTCAGATATTTCCCATCACTTACTTTTTGTCTTAATATTTCTTCAAATATTCTTTCTTCCAAATTTTTACCATTTTTCTTTCTTTATTTCTTTCTTGAAATTTCCAATCCCGTTCTTTCTTTCTTTCTTTCTTTCTTTCTTTCTTTCTTAGTATTATTAAGTTTGTATATTTTGTTCGTAATGACAGAAATACATATCAAGTATAATGCTGACATCTTAGTTTTCAAAAGCCGTGAACTTTCTATCGACTTATCTATCTAATTTTTTAATATCCTTCTATCTATCTATCTATCTATCTATCTATCTATCTATCTATCTATCAGGCTGTTCATATCTATCTATCTATCTATCTATCTATCTATCTATCTATCTATCTATCTATCAGTCTGTTCATATCTATCTATCTATCTATCTATCTATCTATCTATCTATCTATCTATCTATCAGTCTGTTCATATCTATCTATCTATCTATCTATCTATCTATCTATCTATCTATCTAAATTTTTAATGTTTCTTTTTTCTTTCTAGATGTTTCCCATCGTTTTCTTTTTTCTTAATATATCTGCAAACTTTCTTTCCTTAATAATTTTTATCATTTTTCTTTCTTTATTTTTTCTCAAAATTTCCCATGTCTTTCTTTCTTTCTTTCTTTCTTAAAAATTCCCTACTTTTCTTTCTTTCTTTCTTTCTTTCTTTCTTTCTTTCTTTCTTTCTTTCTTAATAATTCCCTACTTTTATTTCTTTCTTTCTTTTTTCTTTCTTTCTTTCTTTCTTTCTTTCTTTCTTTCTTTCTTAATAATTCCCTACTTTTCTTTCTTTCTTTCTTACTTTCTTTCTTTCTTAATAATTCCCTACTTTTCTTTCTTTCTTTCTTTCTTTCTTTCTTTCTTTCTTTCTTAATAATTCCCTACTTTTCTTTCTTTCTTTTTTTCTTTCTTTATTAGTATTATTAATTCTGTATAGTTTGTACGTAATGACAGGAATACATATGGAAGAATAATGCGCATATCATAATTTTCAACACCCGTGAAATTTCTATCTATCTATCTATCTATCTATCTATCTATCTATCTAATTATTTAATTTTTTTCTTTCTAGATATTTCCCATCACTTTCTTGTTTTCTTAATATTTCTGCAATTTTTCTTCCTTCCAAAGTGTTACCATTTTTCTTTTATTTCTTAAAATTTCTAATGTCATTCTTTCTTTCTTTCTTTCTTTCTTTCTTAATATTTCTACAGACTTTTCTTTCTTTCTTTCTTTCTTTCTTTCTCAATATTTCCCTACTTTTCTTTCTTTACCATTTTTCTTTCTTTTTCTTAAAATTTCCCATGTTTTCCTTCCTTTCTTCCTTCCTTCCTTCCTTCCTTCTTTCTTTCTTAATATTTCCCTACTTTTCTTTCTTTCTTTTTTTCTTTCTTAATATTTCCTTATTTTCCTTTCTTTCTTTCTTTCTTTCTTTCTTTCTTTCTTTCTTTCTTTCTTTCTGTCTTTCTTTCTTTCTTAATATTTCCCAACTTAATATTTCTATAGACTTTCATTCTTTCTTTCTTTCTTTTATATTTTTATTTTCTTGTTTTGATTCATTTCCATTATTCATTTTTATATTTAATATGTATATAATCACTCACTTCTGTCAGTAATTGGAGAAATATAGTAATGATGATATTTTAGTTGTCAACATCTGTGGAATATTCCAGCCGTTTTCAATTAAATTCTTATCGGCGACATAGAAGTATCTGACACTTTTAGGTGACCAACCTTATCTCGTAAAACGAGAACTTACCATCCAACGATGCTGAAATATTCCAAAGTAATTTTATCAGATTCTACGAAGCATAATGTAAAAAAAAAAAAAAAATGATTGCAAATATGCACGTCATTGGCTCATGTCACTTTTGGCAACGACTTCTGGGATGCCTTCGTTACTGTTCGATGTTGGCCTTGAACCAGACTTGGAATCACTTCAAAGCGATGTAATATAAATGAAAAAAATATGTGTCGAATAGTTCCGATTTTAAAAACGCTATGATTTAGTTAGAAAATATTGTTTGCCTGACTGACAATACCCAGTTCTTGATAATCACTTAGTCAAAAATGATTTGCATAAAAAAGGAAAATCGCATAAACTATTAGAAGCATACTGCTGCCGTATTCGATAGGAAACAATAAACTACAGAAGGACTCAAAACTGATTTCTGCTTTACTTAACTTTTAAATGTTCAACGATAATTCTTCTGGCGCCACTTAATTTAAAGACAATTTGATGTACGTAGGTCCTTACTTTCTGAACAAGAAAAAATTAGTTTTATTTCATTGGGTGACTTTCACTGGATTGCGCAAATAATTTTGATTATTCCCGAAAAATCACGTAATAAATCGGCGAAAGCAAACTTGGAAATCCAACACTTTTGCAAAATGAGCTATTGAAAGTTAGAGAGTTGCGTCCCTTTAATTGAAAAAGTGTGACACAGTGACACACTGATATTCACATTTATTCTATATATATATATATATATATATATATATACTCACATCACACACACTCCCAAAGAACTAAAAGATAACATGCAATTATCACACACATCCCAATCCCGGCAACTAATAAAGCTGTAAAAATGACCAAGGAGAGATACCTGTAAGTCATGAATCTCTCATCCACTATCTTAAAAAACAACTTACTTAAAAAAAGCCGTTTAACCAACGCAAGGACTGACCAAAATTAACGATAAATGAAAACAAATGAAAACTACACATAAAGTTCACTTTATTCAGAAACAGTTATTCTCCCCTGTAGTTCACTAGTTACAAGCAAGGATTCTTTTACTCCTGATGATGGCCATTCTGGCTGAAACTTGTCGAGGAACCTAATGGAAATAATAAAACAAAAAATATTAATATACAACCCAGTGTGTATGAAAATTTTAATTTTTTAATATTTTTTATTGTTCAAATATATACATATATATATATATATATATATATATATATTAAGAAATGGACAAGGTCCGACAATTTATTTATTAAAGACATTTATTATATTTTAACGTTGTTATTTTATAGATACAAGTATTTAAGCAAATGCTCTGTTTATGATAAACAGTATTAAATAACATTTACCGGCCTGAATGTGGGAGAAATGTTCATAGAAAATATTCGTTCTTTGACAGGATAAAACATAATAAAAAATCCTATACGGAATTGTCGGACCTGACATGCCTAATATATGACGTCATTTGTTTACATTCGATACGACAGGGGTCGAATGTACGAGATTATAAACTTGAGTTTATGGGATCGGAAATTGAACTGCTCTGGCGTATCGAATTTGTAAACAAAGACGTCATATATAGGAATAAGTCCGATATTTATTTATTAAAGACATTTTATTATGTTTAAGGTTGTATTTTATAGATACGAATATTTAAGCAAATGCTCTGTTTATGATAAAAATATTAAATAATATTTACCGGCCTGAATGTCCGAGAAATTTTTCATTTAATATATATAAAATAACAACGTTAAACATAATAAAATGTTTTTAATAAATAAAAATTGTCGGACCTTGTCCATTTCTTAATATATGACGTCATTTGTTTACATTCGATACGCCAGAGCAGTTATGAATGTACGAGATTCATGGAAAATTGGAGTTTATAAGCAGTAAATGCGACCTTGTCTACCGAACGCTTCTTTGTAGCCTAGCGGTAAGGCACGTCAGCGTATATGACGGTTCCGTATAGGATGCAGGTTCGAATCCTGTCAAAGAACGAATATTTTCTATGAAAATTTCTCGGACATTCAGGCCGGTAAATGTTATTTAATACTGTTTATCATAAACAGAGCATTTGCTTAAATACTTGTATCTATAAAATAACAACGTTAAACATAATAAAATGTCTTTAATAAATATATATATATATATATATATTGATTTAGGAAAATGAAATAACTAAATATAAGCAATCGTATACTCTCGTGCTGGCTTGTATGCACAGGTAAGCGAATAAATAATTACCAAATTCTGCCAAGAGATGTGAACATAATAGTGCTCGAGGTGTTTTGACAGAGCCAGGAAATATATATTAATAAATATACATATATCTTCGTTTGGTGTGCGATTTAAGTTTGGGTAACCGACGAAACTTAAATCCACACCAAACGAAGGTAAATATATAGTGAATATAATAAGAACGAAAATAATATATAAATTACATTACATCAAAAGAGAGCTAAATACCGATAGTAGAGCAATAATTATTTATTATTCGTCACCAGTCGAGGTGCAACTAAATGCACCGAAACGAAGTTACATCTTTGTCGTGAGTAAATTGTTTTTGTCTATATGAAAAAATTATAATAAACACACACACACACACACACACACATTATATATATATATATATATATATATATATATATATATATATATATATATATATATATAAATATATAGAAAGCTAACAACAACATAACAAAGTTTCACCTAAGCGGATTGTCGTTCCCTGACGATCCGCTTAGGTGAAACCTTTGTAGGTTTGTCTGGCTCTCTAGGTTTATCTAGGTCTCCACTACTTACTGTATCGAGTCCTTTATTTAGTTATTTTGCGTACTCGTATCAGTTTTTTTTTTTCTTTCTTTGGGCTTTGAACTTGCATGCTGGACGACTATTTTCGGCTCACGCACATGTTCTTGGTTCTATCTTTTTTCATACCATTTTTTTTTTCACTTTGGTATTGGCTTGTTCATTTGCAAATCAAGACACCGAAGGTTTTCCGAGCGAGTATTATTATTATAGTTATAAGATTACTACTAATACTAATAATATATATATATATATATATATATATATATATATATATATATATATATATATATATATATATATATATATATATCTTCTTACCCCAATATAAAGCATGCTTAAGAGAGATTTGAAATTAACCCCTCCCTATACTCTACCTTGTCTCTTTAACTACAACTCTCACCCCCACCTATTAAATTACAAAAATTACACTACCCATCAATTTCTAATCCCATTTTTCCTTTCATTTCGTTGTTGGAATTGTTACCTGATGATCCGGAGTCCTTTAAAAAGGATTTTGGTGAAATAAATTATTGTAATGGTACCTTAAAGTGGTCTGTTTTTCATTAAATATATATATATAGTATTTGTTGAAAATCAGTGACAAGGCACTGCGATTAAGCGTATTATATTTTTCTTGTATTAGTACAAAAGATTAATTTTTGGGACATCGAGCCTCAAATGAGCCTCCGGGCCAAGCGGTTTCGGCCAATCTATTAGTATGTTATCAAGGATGTATTTGTGTCGTAGTTTTTTGTGTTGTCTGAATATGTACATTTTACATGTTTTATAGTAATAGAAATGCTTTCATTACCGACTGTGATCAGGAATTAATTCATTTTGCATTGCTATTAAAAATAAAAGAAAATGTCTGCATTATTTTTAATAGATCCTCATATTTGAGTATACGTTCGTTTTTAGTTTAAAGTGTATTTATTTCGTCTAGTGACCTGCATTTATTAAATCAAATGTACCCCCCACCAGGAATCGAATCTGCGTCCAATTTTCTAGGAGAAGCCACCGTCTATTAAAAGCTAGACCATCTAATATATAGACAGGGCGTATCAAAAATGGTTTTACAAACTTTGGGGCGGGTTCTTCAAACTAATGCAAGGACTGAAATCCTATAAGTAAGTGTTTGAAAATTCTTCATTTTTGAGTTATTAAGTTTAAAGCAAGTATACTGTAGATGGCGCTGTGTTTTCATGTCACTCGTGTACATTTGTGGCTAGATTGTCTTCAACGTTTAACATGTGTAGTAGTGGGTTAACGGAGAAGTGTCCCGTTTAATAATGGCGGGATATCCGTATCGTGAGCAGATAGATATTCATTTTCCCTCCAGCCGCATGAATGGTAATGGACACGAGGCTACATATCTATATCGGATTGCTTTTCCAGACAAAAAGCAGCCGAGGTATCCAAAATTTGCTCCTGTTTATCGTCGCGTTGCTGAGAATGGATCCGTGGCATCACAAACTATGGATCAAGGAAAGCCGAGATCCGCTTGTACGCCTGACAGGGGCGCATGCGCGTGCAAAAGCAAGCGGAGGACATATTGAACATTTGCTGCGTTGAGGTAAAACGATAGCCTTTGGAACATACGTTTATATGAACGTTTTACATTGTTTCGGTGTCAGAAACCGTTGACCGTTGATATGATGTCACTTTGATTGACGTGAAATTAGTTCCATCAAATGTGAGAACGCCGCAATTAAAAATCAGTTGCGTAACTGCACACAGAACAATCGTTGAAAACAAATGTAGCAACATTCGAAAGTGCTCACGAAAAAATAATATAGAATAAAAGTTGATATGTATTATGATCACTCAGGTAATTTTACTACTAATAATATATAATATATATATATATATATATATATATATATATATATATATATATATATATATACTACCTTCATCACTATAATCAAATCATATAGCAGTAATAAAAAAAACTTTCTAAAAAGAGCACACCAGAATTCATCCTCTCGACTATTCTTCCTCAAAGAACTTAATAATGCAAAACAAACCCTAATCAACAACGACTTCCCAAACTACCTTATAGACCAACAAATTAGACCATTTCTCTCCAAAGTAAGTAATAACGATAGCGAACACACAACTAAAAATCACATACACATTTATTACAAAAATCAAATGCATATCAATTACAAACAAGACGTATCTTCTCTAAGGCATATTATAAAGAAATATAGTACTCCAACTGATCCGAATAAAAAATGAAATTAATTATCTATTATAAAAAATTTAAGACAGCTAACCTTATCCTCAAAATTAACAACACACCAGTTAAGTCAAAATTACAAAGAACGAACATTATCTATGAGTCCAAATGCCCCTTAAGGAACTGTGTTCCTGATCAAACCGGACTCATAAATAATTATATCGGTTACGCAACTACATGCTTATCCAGACGTCTTACGTTACACCTCTCTGATCACAGCTCCATTAGAACCCATTTAAATATACACACAAATTTACCAGTCTCCATTGGAAACATACAAGTAGAAAACACAAATATATTAACTGCATTCACCTGCAAAAAAAGACTAAAAATAATGGAAGCTTTAATAATAAAATAGAAAAAGCCAACTCTTAACAACATTAACTACGAACAAGGCCACAATATGCTAACCGTATTCGGAAATTAAAAACAGTTCTACAACACACTAAAACATGCACATAAAGCCCACACTCAGTTAAGCTGAAAAATTGAATCATCCTTGATAATGGCTAAAGGCATAGCCGAAAGCTCTCGGAAATATAAAACATTTGGACAGTTCTTACACACCCGTTGTCCAGAAAAGAAAGCTCTTGTTTGAACACAAGAAAAATTAAGGAATTGTATTCCTGATCAATCAAAATTTGTAAATAATTATATACGCCACACTACAACATGTTTGACACGCAGACTCACTCAACACCTTTCTGACCATAGCTCAATTAAATCTCATTTAAATATTCAAGACATACTTGTTGACAACACGAATATAAATATAGCATCATCTACATGCAAAAAAAGGCTAAAAATAATGGAAGTCTTATTAATGAAATCAAAAAACTAACACTTAATAATATTAACTATGAACATGGACACAATATCTTGATCTTGACATTTTATAAAAACATCCATGCAACAAACTATTTCTTATTTAACAGTTAAAATATTTAATCCCTGAAAATAGCTAAATGTATAGCCGAAAGCGCTCGGATAAAAATAATATTCGGACAGTTTTTATATAATTTATCATCCAAAAGAAACAAGAAATGATTAGATCGCATGAGAAATTGTATAAAAAACTAAATAAAAGCACCTTGTCTGTAGTATTCAATAAAATGTACATTTTTTTAAGCGTTTCACCCCAAGCAAGGCGAGAAGCCACTAGCACGCAAGGGGTTACAGAAGATTTGGGGCAAGATCAG